TGTGTGTGTGTATGTACGTGCGTGTGTGCAATTCGTTTCTTCACCCAAAGTTGAAGGCGGAAAAAAAATGAAGGGACATAACCTGTATAAATGCGTTCGTAAAGTTTTACCGTGGTTTCTTCCCTTGTCGACATTTGCTGCGGAATTGATGCTGGTAAAAATAATGGGCTTTTAATTGGGGGGGGGCTTGTTTATACGATTTGGTGACATGGGGTTGATTCCCCCCTTCCCCCGGCCGAAGATGTAGGCAAATATGCTATGTGTCTGACCTAGCATTTCTTTCATGTTCTCGATAGTTCAAAAGACCAGGATGTATTTGCATGGCAGCTGGCAGAGGTATACTGTGGGTGGGTGGCGGGTGCTCTGCTCTGCTGTTGTTCATCTTTCGTATTAAATATCTATTTCTTCTTTATCTCTATCCATCTCTATCTCTTTCTCTTTTTCTGTCTCTGTCTCTATCTCTATGTCTGTCTCTATGTCTGTCTCTATGTCTGTCTCTGTCTCTATATCTATTTCTGTCTTTGTCTCTATCTCTGTCTCTGTCTCTATCTCTATCTCTCCTCCTTTTTTATCGGTACGAGTTTGTTACTATCTGGCAGTAGCTCTGATCTTCGGCACTCATACGACCTAATCGCGTTGCAAATGCCGTAAAACTTTAACAAAACTAAAACTGAGAGGTGTGCTCCAAAACGTTTACTTCATCAAAGCAAACAGCAATAGAAAGAAAACCAACGTAAATGAACCATAGCCAGAGGAACATAATATTACTACAGTAGCACATGCCATGATGCTTACAGTCACTGAAACAGTGGCACATGCCATGATGCTTACAGTCACTGAAACAGTAGCACATGCCATGATGCTTACAGTCACTGAAACAGTGGCACATGCCATGACGCTTACAGTCACTGAAACAGTAGCACATGCCATGATGCTTACAGTCACTGAAACAGTAGCACATGCCATGACGCTTACAGTCACTGAAACAGTGGCACATGCCATGATGCTTACAGTCACTGAAACAGTAGCAAGAACAGCGACAAACCAAAACAACGAAATGCAACGACAACATCATCATCAACAAGAACGACAACAACTACAACAAGAACAACAACAAGAACAACAATAATAACAACAGAAACAACAACAACAACAACAGCAGCAGCAGTGAAAGTGGCATAAACAACCACTGCAACACCAACACCAACAACAGAAACAAAACCAATAATGACAATAACCCAAATGCTGTCAGCAAAAGCAACGACAACAATGATACAAAGAAACAGCTGAATCAGCAGCACAGCAAACCGCCTTCACCACCAAGGACGACAGCAACAACGACAACGACAACGACAACGACAACGATAACCCCCTAAAAACAAAGCAACAACAACAACAACAAAAACAGCAATATTTAACAACAATGCGCTACTTCAGAAGTACAAAGTTGTATCTGACATTTTTCATCCGTTTTGAGTTTCTAAAACAACGAGGAGAGAGCTGAAATGAAGACCACTGGGGAAACACGGGCATTGTCACAAACTAGAAATTGTGAGTGTTTCTACAGACTTCAATATAAGTTAAGGACCACTTGCAAATTTGACTAAGATTCCCCGAGGATTTCCGTGCTGCACGTGGTGATTTTGCCCCTTAAGGAAGCTTTGCAGTACGCTTTGGTAACCCATTAACACTTTCAGACCAACAATTTTGAAACATTCCTTGCTGTCTTTTTTCGGATTTTAAAAAATCAGGGCTGTCTGTCATGGTGGTCCTTAAGTTATGTTGAAGTCTGTATTTAAAAGCTTGTGGACTCATAACTTCATAATTGTTTGACTGGTGGTTTATTGTTAAGTGTTGTTGAATGGGAAATCTAACAACAATAATCAACCAACAGTTGGACAGAAATACAGTTATGAGTCAACAAGTGCTCAAAATTGGTACCCTCACGATTTTCAGTTTGTGACTATGATCAATTTTCTCCTGTGGTCATTAAATGTTCCATCTGCTCTATTACAATCGTAAGATTATTAGGAGTCATTGTTAAGATATTCAAAGAATTGCACTCGAAAAAGTTTGACTTGTTGTGAATCTCAAAAAGCTTAACGTCAAATATCTCCCAACTAGGTACTGAGCAGATAGGACTTTGTGATTCTGGGGTAGCGAACGATAGTAACAGTCACTTCAACTGCAACAGCAGCAACAACAACAGCAACACCAATATAACAGTAATGACAACGACAACTACAACAACAACAACAACTACAACTACAACAGCTACTACAACAACAAAAACGCCAGCACCAAACAACCAAAAAGCAGGGAACACGACAACAACAGCGTGTTATAGCCCCCAGAGATCCGCGGCTGACTCCCTGGGTCTGTGTGACGTCGATAGATTGACACATCGTGACTGCGGCCTGTCAATGGAGCCATCAGGAGGCCCTGGGATAATCCCGCCATTACCAGATAGGCCGACCTACTTACGTCTGCTCCCTGCTTCTGCGCCTCACTACACTACCATGGCCGGTTTGTAAAGAACGTTTATTGCGGAAGACATTGTCCGTTTTTCAAGAGAATCTTTTGAAGGCATTGTCTGTTTTTCAAGAGAATCTTTTGAAGACATTGTCTGTTTTTCAAGAATATCTTTTGAAGACATTGTCTGTTTTTCAAGGATATCTTTTGAAGACATTGTCTGTTTTTCAAGAACATCTTTTGAAGACATTGTCTGTTTTTCAAGAATATCTTTTGAAGACATTGTCCATTTTTTAGAGAACATTTTCTGTAGATCTTTCCCGGTATTTAATGACCATTTTCTAAAGACTGTGCTTTTTTTAGAGAACATTTTCTGAAAAAAGTCTTCTTTTTTTAAAGAAAATATTTTCAAAGAGAGTGTACGTTTTTACATAGCCTTTTTTTTTTTAAAACGTCTGGTTTTTTGGGGGGTGTTTTTAAAAAATATTTTCTGAAGACAACAGTTCTTTTCTTGACTTTCGAACATCTGTAGTTAGTGAAGGTCCAAGGTTTTGTTGGTTAGTTGGTTTGTTTGTTGTTTTCTTTCCTGGTTGTCTACGCCAGAGTTTGTTCAAAGTTTCGTTTGTTTGGTTGTTTGTTTGTTTTTAATTCCTTGTTGTCTACGTCAGTGTTTGCTAACCTGGGTGATGCTGCCCATTAGTGGTTTGTCCCCCCCCCCCCTATCTCTCTCTCTCTCTCTCTCTCTCTCTCTCTCTCTCTCTCTCCCTGGGCAGTACTACACACTAAAACTGTCTTAAGGCCATTTCCAAAGGGAGGGGGGATATTAATATGCTCTTATGCACAGTAAAATTGTAAATGGGCTGATTTATCGATGTCATTATCATACTGTGCCGGAACAACATAGAAGGGAACTGCTGCTTTTTCTGTCCTCATCCTTACTATCGTCATTTTCCCTCTACTTTTTTGTATGTTTGTCACTCTCTTGTGAACCGCTACTTCTGGGGTGCCTTGATAGTCGAAGCAGACTTTGTGTAGTTGAGGCTAGAGAGGTGAGCAGAGTAAGTCTGATTCCCTGTTTGGACTTCTCTGTTGACATCCACCCCTTGGCGCTCATGTGATCTTATGCAGTTGCGAGGGCCGTAAAAC